AAAAAAAAAAAAAAAAAAAGAATGACTTCTCTTCAAAGAGCATCTGTTGGTTCACTAGCAGCTCTGCAGGCACTGCTGGTGAGAGCTGCTGCTAGAGCTGCCTTTACCCACAGTTCCAGTTACCTGCCCTGTCTCTCATGTCACCTTCCCATGCCCTCAGCCTCAGCCCCCGAGCTTCTGGTCGCTTTCTCTACTGAGTCACTTAGGCCTTTCAACTAGTCTTCTTGGGCATAGACCCTTTCAAAGCAGCCCAGCCTACTCTTATCCCTGAAATCCCTCCTACTATGGTTCACTGTATGCCTCCTGGATGCTGGAAACTCTAGCCAGACTTAGGTCTGCAAATGAGCACATACCAGCTCCCCAGGGTTCCCTGTATCCTGCATTCTGAGTGCTTCGCTGGAAGCTTCTCCTACTCAGGTTTAAGTGAGGGACAAACACATGACTTCTGCATGAGAGTAGAAGTGAAGGCAATAGCACAACATACCCACAAATTACACCTGAGCTCTGATTCTGCCTTCCTCAACTTCAACCTTTTTATATCCTCAAGCAGTACTGTTTTTCAGGCCTCCCCTTCCTTACTCAGTTTCACAATATGGAAATAAGAACATTTTGAAGAACATACATAACTAGTGTTTAAAAACGCAACTTAAGAATTCAGGGTTATGAGTAACTGTTCTATTTTTCTGTAGCTTTTTCTTTTATCCCAAAAGTTGTACAGTGAACATTTGTTACTTTTATAAAAGAAGTTTTCATGTGTTTCAAATAATGGAGTTAAAATTATTACCCTCAATGATGTCTTTGAAGTCTGTTTAATAATTCAACTAAAGGCTAAAGTGGTAATTAAATATTATTTTTTCTCTTAAAAAATATGTAATCAGTGCTCTTCCTCACCACAGGTCAGTTCCCTTGACAGTGTCTCAGGAGTGAAATATATGGCTTCTCAAATATTGTATTCAAATGTGTAAGTTTGACATCCTTAGGAAAGATGGGATGTATTTATTTCAAGTAATTCACCCAAAATGCTCACTTGTCTCTATCTTTCTTTTTATCTTACAGATTGGATACAATACCTGAAAGCTAAAGGCCAGTAGCCAGGAGAATCAGGAGAGAATTGTTAAGAAGAAAAATTGGCTAAATGTTGTACTCTTCTTTTGCAGCCTAAACAGGAAAAAGAATGTATTTGCTAAGTAACAATAGGTACACTGTTTCCTCAAACACTTTATGAAGTATTGTCTAAACTGGAGCAGTACAGGCTTGGCTCCATGTCCAGTGACCTGGAAGTCTGTAAGTTCCAGGTCCAAAGGAATGGAGTTTTGCCAGAGTAGATTCATTAGAGCTGATACTATCAGTGTGCTAGAAGGAAAACCTTATGTTCTCTTCAGGGCTGCCAACTTTCCAGCTGCCATCCCCATCAGCAAATGGCAAGGAGTGCTCTGATTTTGGACTGGAGAACACATTGTGGGAGCCAGGCTGGTCAATGAGCCTAATCATGATAATGCTAATAATAGCAAACCTTCGCTGAGCACTGATCATGAGCCAGCCCTGCTGAGAGCAGTCTGTATGCAATACGCCATTTAATTCTCTCTGCTGTGATGAACCTGGGGCTATTATGATGACTGTTTTGCATGTTAAGAAATGAGCTCAGAGAGGTTAAATAATTTCCCTGTAATCATTCAGCTTAAACGTGGCAGTGTTGGGTTTTACAGTCAGGTCTCCATAAAGCTGTAGCCTAACACCTCACTATTCATTTTTTTCTGTACCCTAAGTCTACATCTCAGTAAGGATCTTACATCTCAGTAAGGATCCGGTCCTCTAGGACATGGCTCAGATCTTCCCCCCTGCAAGGGTCTTTTCTCTTCATCACAGCTCTACTTGTTTTCTCTGCCCTACTAGTTCCATCTTCAATCTCAGTACTAACCAGAACCCATCCTACTTGGCTTCTAAGATTAAACAGACCTGGCATGTGATACATGTGTTAAAATCATTGACTGACCCTAAGGGCTCCAGTTCAGCCCTACCACTGAGTATATCTTGTACTTCTGTGCTTCTTTGCTTTTGTTCATTAATTGTACCTTAAAAGTTCTTCTCTTGTTCTCTGCCAAATTCTATCATTTATCAATTCTCTGTGTAAATCTCATATCCTTTATAAATCCTCTACCAGCCTCCTCCTGCCAACATCTGGCCTTCTTAACTCTGCTTATCGGTACCACCTTCACATTTTAGTGCAAGGATTAGCAAACTATGACCAGAAGGCTTAATCTGCCTGTTGTCTGGTTTCCTATGTGATGGGTTTCTCGCCTCACTAGGATTCCTGCTAAGTTGCTATGGCGCCGCCCACTGGAGGCCATGTGCTAAGCCCCACTAGTCTTCCTCTGAGTCAAATTACAACTTCCTACTCCCCTTTTTGTAGTATCCTGTTTCCTTTTCCCAAGCTCCCACCCAATTCCAGTCTGCCAAATCAAGCAGTCCACCCCCTAAACCCCGCCTCCAGCCTGGCTCTATATAGCCATTGTTCTCCCAGCCAGGCCTTCAGCAGCTCCAGGTCCCTCCTTCCTACTGTGTTGTTCTCCATGCCTGCAATAAAGGCATTTTATTCTGTTTTGTTTCTTTCTGCACCAGAAAAACCTATCAGTATGCTCACCAAATAAAGAATAGTTTTTATATTATATTATTTGCTGACGCATTGTCTATGGCCACCTTTGCACTGCAATGGCCAGGTTCAGTAGTTGTAACAGATATATGGACCAATTCCTGAAATATTTGCTCTTGGGCTATTTATACAGAAACTAATTGGTAGTCCTTGCATTAGAATACAGTCACACAGTGTTTCAGAGTACAGGCACTGGTATTCCTGATTTTACACCTCTTATGCCCAGCTCAGAATTTGTTCTTAGCAGACAGTTTAATGTGCATGTGAAAGTTAAGTGAGTATGGAGGAAAGATGGTACAGTAACAACCAGGAGTCCTGGATTCAGGTCTTGTCTCTATCAGTTGGACTCAAACATCGTCAGGCACACTCCAAGGAGGATAATTTGATGAACGCTTTTCACAAGAAGATAGTGAAGTAGTTCAGAGTTCTTTACAGAAAACTTGTTACCATTCATAGACTGGAAGGAGCCAACAGTAGGATCAAGTTTAGAATTCCTGAAAATGAAAAACATGTAGTCAAGAACTGTGAAAATAATTGTATCCTTTTATAGAGCTATGCAGCCAGCTGATAATGACCACACAGGAAAGGAGCCAGGAAAGCCAGTACCCTGGCCACATTTTCCTCCCTCTTCCTACCTCCTGCTGCGTCACGTGGATGAGGATGTGTCCAGGCACTGGAGGCCTGTCAAAGTCATACATGGAAGTTGGCTCTTGGAACGTAGAACAAGATTGAAGAAGATAACAATCTACAGGGGCTAAAGCAAGACACCCTAGGATAAACTTAATGACAAGCCACATGTATTCCTCAGCCCTCAATTTCTTCACCTATAAAATGTACAAGTTTAATCACAAATTCTTCATAATAACTAAAACAGCAACAATCGATTTGTTGAGACCTTATGATACATCCACTCATTTGTCACATAGCTTGCAAAATAAATATTGTTCCCTACACACAGATGATCAAACAGACTCCAAGATGTTGCAAGAGATTCATTCATACAACTAGTGAATGAATGCCACATGGAAATTACACTACACTTTCCTTCCACATTTAGACTTACAATAATTCCAATCTTATTTGCACTAGCTGTGAAAGTAGCTGCTTGGGGAGGATGCTATGTGGAGGACCATCTGGGTGACTCTCCTTTAAGGAGGAGCAATTGTCTCCATTTTGGCTGAACCTGACCCTATTTACACATAGCAATGTATACAGAGCTGGCCAGGACTTTTCCTTATCCCTTCAACTGGCCTTAAGCAATGCGTATGGGACCAGCCAAGGTGCTGATGTGTAGTCTTTGAAACAAAATCAACAGGGCAGTGTTTTTCCAGGCCTCTTAGCTCCTGCATGTGAGCCAGCGTGAGGCAGGATGGAGAGCTGTATGTTGGAATCAAGCCTCAAGATAAGAGGCTATGACTTCCCATGGCATAAAAGTTTACATATTAGAGCTGAAGCACTGACCCTAGCCCAAAAACATTAGATACTATCTCAATTCTGTTATGCAGATTACTCTTTCTGCATACCCTCTCTGCGTATTGCAGAGGTGATTTCAGGCCACCTACCTAGCCCAGCTCACAACATTCATCTACTTCCCATCATTCTCACAGTCACTCATTCTCAAGCCACTCCTTTCTTGATGAATTAATAAAACCCAAGTTTGGCCCTGGGTTGAGGCCTTTGTTCTGGTTAACCATCTCCGTAGCTAGACTTATGACCCTTTGGCTCACCATAACTGTAAATATGGCTTAGTGTCTTTATTCTCACAATGGGTTGCACTGGAAATAGTAGATTGGCACTAACTCACTAGAATTTCAATAACTTTTCCATGGGATTACAGATATAAACCTCCTGGGCCAATACAAGGACTGAGAAGGGCTCCCTAATTATAGGGAGCTACAAGTCAAATTAAACTCCATACTGAATGGTCATCTTTAAGTAACTTGCTCAACTTTTCTGGATTTACTGAAGCCATACTGTTCTCCCTAATAGCACATAGAGTTTTCCACATTCACAATTTCAGGCATGGTTTCCCTATAGGTGGAAGATTAGAACTGCCAGGAAATATTACCCCTTCATACCAAATCCCTTTCTCTCATACTACAAGATTTGTGGAGCAGATTTGGCAATAGGGACCTCTGATGACAGGTATACCCATATTTTCTGAGGAAAATATTGAAGGCTGAACATTATAGATCTGAATCATAGCATGTTTATTTATTTATTCTGAGCAATTTACCCAACACTGGAAGTCTTGTACATCATAGCATGGATGTGATTTCTTAATTATTCATGCCATTAATAATTGACACCATTAATAATACTATAATTCCATTAATAATTGAACACATAAAATGGAATTCTCTGGAGTTAATTTATTATCATTAATTTTCTGTGCCAGCTTACCACAGCTAATTAGAATAGTGGCCAGGGTCTGTGCATCAAATTATTTAACCAGGCTTTCACCTCCAGGCTTTAAGAAGGCAAAGAACTGTGGAATTCACCTCAGCCACTACCTTTTCTGGCCATTAATAGCCCCTCTTTCATCTTTTCTCCCTTCCAGGGAGGGAAAAGCTTTCTTGTGAAGAACTCCGCCGCATCCAGCACATGCTCACGGATGTCAAGAATAAAAAGAAGGAGAAAAACTGCCTATGGGACCACAGTGCTTTGCAACAAGCAAGCCCTCAGGGCTTTCAGCCCTCCAACCCAGGTTCACACCCCGCCTTCTTCCCATGACTAGGATAGCTCCTCTTCCCTACTTCAAATTTGTGCTCCCAACTTGCCCTTATAGCTCTCCTTTCCTTAAACTTGACATAAAAGTATTCCTGCCCCAATCTCCCCAAATCTCTCCTCTGTATTATCCCTAAAGACAAGCCCATGATACTTTTAAGAACTGCACAGCCAATTACAATAGAGGAACTAAAGGACAGAGAAAGGATTCCTTACATAGGTAATGTGGACACAGGCTTAATATTTTGACTTTTATCAAATTCCAACACTCATGCCAACAGCTGGCATTTATTGAGACAAATTTATTTAACTACAGAAGGGTTTAATACCTACGGCCAAGGAGGAAGTGAGTGCCATCAACAGGCACAGACTCCAGACCGCCTTATAGAAAATACCCGATGCTCAGGTGAAGGAGAGGCTGCCAGACAACCTCTAGCCATCAGCTCTTTCACAATCTGCTCAGGTGTACACAAATGCCACAACTTCCCATGGAGGATGACCAACTCACTCAGTTTGCATTGGACTTCCTCGCATCAAGTACTGCCTTCCAGGATGGGTCTCTGGGTGAGAGCCTGAGCCCATCAGCACGTTTTTCAAAGCAGAGAATTTTGCCCTCCGTGTCTGACAAGGCTAACCACTGTGAAGTTCTTGGTCCACTGTCTAAAACAAAAGACTACACTGATTCTGTTCACCCCTGCCCTTGCACACACCCCTGAACTGAGTACAGCTGCCCACAAAGCCCACTGAGATTCTCTGACAAGAAAATTAATGTAATAGATTCCTCCTACAAACTCCTGGAACACTCTATAGCTTTCTAATGATGCTCTCTGTGCTCCACACTTTTCTAACTATTGCAAAACCGATCTTTCCGTCTCTCCTGGATTGTGAGCCTCAGACCCCAGACTAGTCACTGGTATGTTTAAATGTGAAGAGAGGAGCAGAATGGTTTCATACTGCATCCACACTTCTCTTCCTTGTATGCCCATTAAAGCTGACAAGTCCTCCAAATATTCAGGGCTTAAGCCTGGGTGAAAAATTGTGACATCAATACCTAAGTTTCCCAACAGCATCTGAAATCCTAAGACTTGTTTTGCTTAACTCTTAGGTTTGTTTGTGCAGTAATAAATCTGTTAAATACTAATTGTAAAATCACTTTAGAAATTATGCAAGAGATTGAACCTACAAAAGTTTCTGTGTCTTTGCTTAAATACAGTCTAAGTTTGAAATAAGCCAAAATGTGTTGTAAAGGCTATTTTAAATTGTACAAAGGTTGCCTGATAAAAAAGATATGAAGAAATTTACATTATCTAGTGACAGACACTTATGGTTAATCTTCCTTCACTTAGTGGATTGAATGGTTCAGTACTTTCTTTTTTTGCTTTAAGATCTTTGAAAATCTTATCTGTGCATACCAGAGCCTTTTCCCCTTCTGTCCCCAGAGGTTTGCATAAGTAGATATGATCATGTACTCTGGAATGCAGAGTGCAGCTTTTTTCCATCTCTTTGACCTTGTGTGACCCTCCTCCTAGCTTTAGTCTTCCTGATTAACCAGAGGGGAAAAATTCACCTGTACACTTCGATAAAGGATACTAAATTCCAGTGATAGAAATTCTCTCATCTTTCATGAAACTTATCAACTATTAATTAATTCATTCAACTGACCAGGGTCCATCTGCATCAGATGATATCAAAGGCTGTAGGATAAGGAAATGTCTGAGATGTAAAGATCCTTGAAATGAAAACCTTTTACCTTCCTGACACTGAGGTTTGAAATTAATCATTGCTCTAAATTTAGTTTTAAAACACAGATCCAACTAAAATTCAGGGCCTTTTGTCAATACATAGCATCATCTAGTATAGTAACTACTGATTCATTTATTTCTTCCTCCAATAAAAGTTTCTACAAGGTTAGGGATTTTTGTGAATAGTAACCACAGATCAATTTTTTGTTGAATAAGTGAATGTTGAATTTCTGAATTTTCAAACTCATAAAGTATTGCAATGGTAGAAGGGCCCAACAAAGCCATTGTGTCCACCTTGTACTCTGCACATCTCTGAACTATTATCACCTTGAACCTGGAACATTTGAAGAAAAGGGTCTCATACTCTCCCAGAAAGACAGCACATCCATTTTTACTTATAGGGCTCTGTGAGCATGTAAAGTCACATTTCCTTTTATACCGGCTACAATGGAATGAGCCTTATAGCTGTCCCAAAGAGTTGGCAATTTCCATACAATCAACTGCATGCAGATTTTTACATGCAGAACTTTTTCATATAT